AAACAGAGCTGAAAAAAGCTGGGGAGTTGATGAGGAGGAGATTTCATGGCTCAGCTGCTGTGTTGTGATATGGAGTGCTCCAGGCCAGGTTCTGGTAATAGAGAAATGGTAATAAATTTTATTGCTGCTCCCTTGATAAGACTGTCTTGATGGCAGGTTCATGGCAGAATAGAGTCCATCCCAAATACTGGAGAAGGTGAACAATTTATTGATAATTGTGTCAAGGAGAAAGCAGACCGGAAATATTTATGTGACTACAGGGACAAATCTGTCTCTGAATAGCTAAGTAAAAGTCCCATTGGTTTCAATGGGAATTTTGCTTCTGGAAGAACTAAATGGTGAGGATTAAATATTTGCAGTAGAATAGTGATATCAGAACAAGGACAAAACTGAAGTTCTTAAGAATTAGTAATGCACCATTTAATTCTGATTTCAGTTGGTTCCCTCTTTTGCATAAGTAAGGTTTAAGAGTGGGTTAGCTTCATTGTGTCTTACGTAAACATTTGTCTTCATTTAGCATGATGTAGACTTTACCAGGAAGTAAAACAGCAATGTCTGCTGTTATTTGAAAATAACTCAGTTTCTATATGAATCATTATGAAAAGTGGAGCAATATCTATGACTTGTTTCCCAAGCTTCAGAAGCAGTCTGTTCCTCAGCCATAATAAAATCGTAGAGTTGCATCTCAAAGAATAATTCCTCCAAGTCGCTAAACCTCTTATAGCCTTGGTGGTGTTCATACATTTTGGTGGATTTTGAACAGACTTCCTCAGAATGCCTCAAATAGTATTTCAGGATTGGAGAAGAGGTTGCAGCATAATAGGTTCTGCAGGTCAAATTCTGCACACACTTGAGCTCTTTGTATTTGTTTATTCCATTTCCCTACTCCATGTAGAAAAACAACCCTCCCATGCCCTCTGTTTTGAGTATTCACTTCAGTTTTTTCACTCTTCCACCTGTCATTCAGTTGTCCTCCATTTTACCCATCTCCCTGACTAACGATTTCTGTTCCCTACAAACTTGATGATGTTCAGTAATCTCACTCAGTATCCTCCATTGATTTATATTTCCCCTTTAACATTGGGCTCTTTTAATTTTTCCTTTAATATAAAAATCTGAGTGCTTGTAATGTCTCCTTTCTTCTTTTTTTCCAGATCTCCTATTGTCCTGTTCCCTCCAATTCCATGTTGATGCCTCTTAGCACAGCTTCATAGTCCCAACCTGCCTCTGCCCCAGAATATTCTATTGTCTGTCATTAATTATCTGGGAATAAATAATTTAGGATGTTCATATCCTTGTGAATGTACTAAGTTGATTGCAAATTAGAAGGCACAAGAGAAAGTTGTCATTATTTTAATTATGGGTAACATCAAACAATTTTTAGACTCCTAAATCACTACGGAGATGCTTGAGGAGCCCTGCAAATGGCTTGTGTTTTTCCAATTCCAGCTTCTTGTTTATTTTCTTTTTAAGGATTTCCTGTTAGAACATTTAGAACATTTTTGAATTAATGAGATGCACTGTTCAAAAGTTATTCTGGTACATGCACAGGTACAGACAGGAGAGAAATGCAATTCCATGTGACTGAAAAAAAAGGCAGAGAAATAATTAGAGATGGTTATGTGGCCAGTTAGAGATAGTTATGTGGCCATTCCTTAAGTCCAGAAATAAGATACTTCTCAGCATTCCAAGTAATGGAGATATTCACATGGAAAATTCTTTTACAGTAAAGGACATTCAACAAAACAGTATACGCATGTGTATAAAGACTGCACTTGACTGCAAACTACAAATTTGACTGTCCAGTTCAAAAAACCCAACACTTGTCTCACTGCTTATTAAATAGTGAGCCCAACAGATAAAATTTAAGGACTAAATACTTCTATCAGTAGCAGTGGTAGTATACTACCAGTCCCACAGAGACTACACATCTTTAACTAGGTCAAAGACATAGCATATTTATCTCAGCAATATACTTTCATGTTCTGAAGATGAAATATACATAAAAAGAAACAAAAACAAGACAAACCAACTGTATCTTCTGCTGCATCATCTTTATTGGAAGTAGCTGTGGTCTTTTTTATGTTTATAGAATTTTGTCCATTGATTGGTTTTATATATTTTCATTTGAAAATATCTGAAAATTTATTATGCCTACTTAATAAATTAACCTCAGTACACTCATTCAAATGTTACATTCAATCTACAGAAAAGGTCAAACGATGCATAAATTGAACCCTGATGCAACTGAATTCAATGAGACTTGTTTTAAGGAGTCCAAAGTCTCACCAAAAGGAATAATTTTGCCATCAACAGCAGAGCATGCTGATAGGATCAAGAACTCCTGTCACTACTGAAAAAAATCAGTGGCATTGGTCAGCCATTGTCAGACACAGTGACTACAGCAGCTTACATTCTCCAGAGGTGGATTCAGCATGTTTTCAAAAACTGGTCTTTTTTTTTTGTTTTGTTCTTTTAAATTATTCATTTAATGTCATTTAAAGAAAATCAGCTTAAAAGAAAGCAGTTTGAATTTCAAAAATGGTTAGCATAACATTTTATATTATCGAGGGACAGACAGTACTAGAAACCATGGATGTAGGAGAAAAGATGGGGAGACGTGAGATAATCTCTACAAATGAAACCACAAAGCCCACAGTCACGTAGAAGTCAGTCAGTTTTATACGGTTTTTGATGACAATTTCTAGAACACATTTTTGCCCACTGATTCATGGAAAACTAAGGACATGACCAATAAGTGAACCAATGAAATATTCTTGCTATTGAAATAGGATGAAGTAACTTAAGTCTTGACTTTTAGGAGCACTTGGAACGATGCATTTTAAGCTGGTTTCAGTTATACTGCCTCTTTACGCCATTCCTCTTCCCATCCTCCCTGCATGACTGTCAGGTGAATCAGACCCGTGAATGGATCTGGCTGAATCATTCTTTTTTCTCCATTACTTTTTGACTGGATCCAATGCCTTGGTCTGATGAACTTCACATTCTTAAAGACTTGCAGAACTGAGAGAACAGAGAAGAGTGGCCAAAGGGAAGGACTGCTTGCAGTAAATGCTGCTGTTAACAGGAATTTGCATTAAATCATAGCCAGCAAAGCCCTGGCTTTAGCCTCTTGACCACTGACTGTTGGTATCACTTCTTGGGAATAGTATTCTGGATATGACTACCCCAGGTGAACTTGGCATAAAATTCCTCAAACCCCTTCAACAGTTTATGAGTGCATCTCCAGAGTTTGAATTCGGTGTCTCTCACTTAAATATACTGGAGATAGGTAACAACGGAAAGAAGTATTTTGCAGGCCTTGTAGAGGCATTGCAAAACCACTTCTGCTAGAGTGACAGATTGTGTTTTCTTCTTTTGTTTGGAGGCTCCAGGCTCTTCACCAGTATGGAGAGAATGGTTCTCCTTGGCTGAAGCCATTTTTATTGTTCATATCAGCAGCTTTTCTAGAGTCTACTGTGCCTTTTTACCCTTATAACCAGGAGGTATATGACACAATGGCAGATACAGCATACGTTGAAGCATTTATTGATGCAGAGATTTATAGAAGTAATTAGTGTTATACAAATAAGTGCCTAAAATGTGCACACATATTGATTTAACGTATTATAGTAGATATAGGCATATTAATACACTGAATTCTGAAATAGGTACATAAACATAAATTAAAAGGTACATATGCATTTAGTTTAATTAGTGTTGAACTAAATCATGTCTGTTACAAAGGGAGAAATTAAATACTGTCAATGGCATTTTCTTCTGTAGCCTTTTATAAACCCTACATGACCCTCCTCCCTCACTGTTGTATCTGAATGCCTTAAAAGCTTGAAAATAGAATCATAGAATCATTTAGGTTGGAAAAGACCTTTAAGATCATTGAGTCTAACCACAAATCTAACACTGCCAAGCCCACCACTAAACCATGTCCCTAAGTGCCACATGTACATGTCTTTTAAATACCTTCAGGGATGGTGACTCAACCACTTTCCTGGGCAGCCTGCAGACTGGGAAGTGAGTTACTCAGAAGTAGTTTACTAAAGACTTACAAAGCAGGGAAGAGGCTTGATAAGAGGTTTCACATTCTGGCTATATGCATTCAGTGGTAGTTTCTAGAGAAATGGCTAAATGTGACACAGAAAACCCGGCTCCTACTTGAAACAATCAGTAGGGAAAAACATGCTTGAATGTTTGGATTCAAATCATGTGTGATTTTCAGAATAGCTTTTGTAGACTGTATGCAAATTTCAGCTGATAGAAGGCACTTCTGTGTTTGTTCCTGGACAATGCTAGAGAGAACAGTCTGAAGTGTGCTTAATGTCCTCAGCTGAACGGAGACCATAAAAGGTCATTTTGTAGAGTATGTGATGATCTTGAAATTGGTTTTCACCTGTAATTTATGTTAGGAATTCAACCCATATTAACTGATTGAAATGAATGAAGTTATGCTAGCTTACACTACCTTCTGTAACAAGTGCATAGAGCTTATGACTTATAAAAGATTTGATTTAGCTCATTTATAGAAATGTAAATGCAAAGGCATTGAGAACCACATTTTTCCTGTTCTGTTAGAAATTTCTTAGATTAACATTGCAGACTAGCTTCCTGTAATTTTAGAGTTTTTGCCTCTGTCATGCATTACTGGTTTGATACACAATCCCACTCGGCCTAGTGGTTAGCATGCAGGACTCTCACTGCTGCGACCCAGGTTCGAATCCCAAGTCCCCCGGGCAGATGGTAGCTCGTTAGCCCTGTGAGGCCATCCATCTATGAGAAGGTCACTCTAAACAAACCTACATCCTGAGGACCTCACTGCCATTGTCCAAGCTTGCTTGGCCCCGGCAGATGAACCTTAGGATTAAAGGGTGGGCTCAGTTCAGCGCATGCTGTGTCTCACCTAAAAAATCCATTGCGCAGGCTGGAAAGGTAAAAGACCTTTCCCCAAATCTTCGTTCGCGAAGACTGGCCATTATTATTATTATACAGGTCACCATGTCCCCAATTATTTTCACAGTCCTACATTATGTGCAAATAAGGTCAACTTTTAAGTTGCAATAATCGACTTGTAATAACCAGGGAAATGCAAAATGTAATATCCCTGTAGCTATTTAGTTTGTCTGTTATTTATGCTCAGTGTAAAAGTCCACAAAGATACAACGGAATCATTAGCACCATATATTAGGCATACATTGTTTTCCTGTTTGTTTTAATACCAGAGTCATTACCAATTACAATTCTCATTCAGATGATTCCAGCAATAGGTGGCAGCAACAGTCCACATCATGGTCAGCTCCTTCCGGGAGACTGGCAGAAATGTTCCTGATGCTGGCTGAAAATATTAACTACTGAATAACATATTTTAAAGTAGATACTAACAAATGAACTATTCATTAAAAAATTCAGCCAGACCAATGTAACATAAGGAAAGTGAGGTTTAATGAGCTTATTAAAGTTATTATGAAAATGTCTGCAAAAGCAAATGCATTTGGAAGCCATTTTACATGGAAATCTCACCAAATCAATGGCAAGGTTCAAACGTCTATTTTTAATGTTTTTCTTCTAGTCACACAATTGTGCTGGCCCTAGAGTAAACAGTAAAACACATTTACCTGACCTGAGTTATCCCACTGGACTAATTTGTATGAATAAAGTTTAGCATGTGTCATGGGCTGCAGGATTAGGTCAAAAGCATGGAAAATTTCCAGCATCAAAAACAAAAGAACGTGTTCATGGAATAAAAAATGGGAAATGGTTTATGGTTTCAAGTAAACAGAGACACACCTAGTCCTGTATAAGAGGGAGATCTGAGTTTAAAAACTCTTTTTTTAAACTGTGCCCAAGCCGCAGGATATATTTACCTTGTAAAGTTCCCTGCAGTTCTGCTTGCCCAATTGTCTAAGTTCAAGACCTGGAGGGAATACACAGTTTCTGTCTGGCTCATGTGCCAGACTGTAACATAGGATGCAGGTGATAAGGGTGAATGGTTTTTGTCCCATTACAATACTGAGATGTAACGAAGGAACACACGAAGCAGAAAACATTCCTGGGTTCTGTGCTGTAATAATTTTTTTACTTTGTGTGGTCATCTGGAGCAATGATTTATGTTTGTTTTTGCCTACAAAAGAATTAGGATTGAGACAATGAAACCCTTGGATTTTAGAAGCAGTGAGTCAGAAGAAAGAAATAATCAAATACCAAAACACAGATTAAAGTGTAAAATAAATGTTTCCATCTTCTGTCTTAGAAAAAGTCAAAATTGCATCAAGTATACCATACTCCTGAAGTCAAAATGAAAAGTGAAAAAGAAACATCTATAGAAAATGTGAAAACAGAGTTCATGAGTGAATATTTCATGGCCTTGAGCATATTTACATACATACATAGGAAATATTCTTATTTGATCTACAGTCTGGAGGTCATGCTGGTTTGATTGGTTTGTGTGTTAGCTTCCCAACCACATCTAATCTTTCTTATCCTCTTCCTAAAACATGGGAGGAGCAGTACACATTTACAAAGCAGAACTACAATAGGAAGAAAAACTGCTATCATAAATGAAGGTGGTGTATACCAGATAAATTGGTTAACATCGACCCACTTATTCCAAGCAAACACCAGTGCGTGAACGGTGCATAGGAGCAAAGCTACATATCCCATCTTGCTCTGAAAAAGAGAAAGAAAACAGTAAGCTATTTATTTTTTCCCAACTTGGCAAAAAGAGTACTCTGTTAAGCAAGTATGGAAATCAGGAAGGGCTACAACCAACAATATGCAAGTTAAAGAAAAGAGACCATTGGCTTTGAACTAAAATGTAAGAACTATAATTCAAGAATCCAAGTGTACCCCTCTATGCCACTGTAAAAGAAAACAGATGAGGCCGATTTTTCAAGTATTGCTGTGATATTTAGCTAATATACAGAGGAGATGAGATTACAGGCTATTCCTGAAAAAGGGTCAATTCTCAGTATTTCGATTTATAGATGTCATCTGTATCCTAAATTACTTTATTTTTGTGATAAATTATTATGAGTTCAAAAGCAGATATATAAAGGGCTTAATTGATTTCTTGCAAAAAAAAAAATTTAAACTAAATTAAAATCACAAACTACTAAGTCTAGTACTATGATACAAGCAATTGCACAGCTACAGAAAACTCAAGTCTTTCATTTCACATACAGTGATAAATTTGGCTTAGGTTGTCTACCAAATTCAGGAGTAAAGGAAATTTTATGCTAGAGTTACTAGTAATTTTGAGTTTCTTGTCACTTAACAATCTTGTATTCATCATTGAAGTCAAAAACTACTCAATGTACAGAATCTGATTTTCGAGTATAAAGGTTATTTGTTTATAAAACAAGTCTAACACAGTAGGTTACTCTTCTGGGTTTCTTCACCATAGTCTTTCAATACTGAAAGGAGTCGCGCATTTGGAAACTCCCTCCTCACCTGTCCATATTCTCCGTACACCTGAAAACTTCTCTAACAAATGATGGACTTCAAAGAGTGTGCAGAATATCAAATCTACTAATTGTAGACACTTCAGATCTACTTTTAAAATTTAAATCAAATTTTCAAATGCCAGGTACTTAGTAGGTTATTGAATTTTCAGGCTTTGGTGTTCAGGGGCCTGATTGAACACTTGCTTAACTCTAGTGTGATCATACTGATGTCAGCAGAAACACCCTTGATAATTACTGCATATGCTATAAGAGAATTAAGAGCAAACCTTGGATGAAGGAAACAAGCACAGCTGCAGCAAACTCAAGACTGGCTGGATTTGATTATGCATCTGTTCTAGGATGTCTCCTTTTCAGAATACACCCTGCTGTATGGGAACAACATTTACTGGTTTAATACTACCTAATCCCAATTCAGCAGGACACGGGGCATTCCTGAAAGATAAAATGCCTAGAAGATTGTGTAAATACAAATACCTTCAGCATCAGAGCTAAGGAAAGGTCCTGAAGGGAAAATGCTGCTGGTCAGAAAGTCAAGAGGAGAAAAAAAGTGATTTGAATTCTTTTTCATCCCATTTTATACCCTGAACACCACAGCCTGTTCTCCTGACAAAATAGCAAATGAGAAGAACATTTCTCACAAAGCTATTAACAAAGAGTACGGAACAAACTTTTAGATTCGTTTCACTAACTCCTCTGTTTGATATTTCTAACTCCTAATGGTCTTAGCTGATAACACACAGTTCTACAAATGGGGCTAAAGATGTGCAGTAATGATATGATGCGCACCTGAATGTAGTGGAACTCTCTCCAGGTCAAAGAGTGACTGACAGATGGAATTGATGTTATTGCCAACAAGGCCAGCAAAGCAAGTCCCAGAATTCCTAGAGACACATAAATCTCCATTCTCCAAACATCGTGTTCAATCCAGGCATTTTCTTTTTTTTGTTTGACCTGCCAAAGGAACACCATATTTAAAATTACAGACTGGCATACTTGGCCATTTGCGTGAAATACAATTTCACTATTTTCACCACAATATTCAGGAAATAAGCCAAGAAACACAGTATTTTGGTTTGTTTGAATGTCTCTGAATGTAACTGCTATATACTTCTGGTGACAAAGTCTCCAACAGTAACTGCAAATCAAAGGTGAGCTTTAAGGGAGAAGAACTTAGACTTCATCAGAATCGTGGCCCAGGAGGGACTGGTTCTGAGGCCTGTTAACCTGCCTTCACAGAAGCATAAATCTTGTCTTCAACCAAAAAAAAAATCCATCTATGGCTAAATACCATATCAGGGAGATTATAACAACAGGAAACATATTAACAGCACTATTTCAGGGAGCTAATTCAGCAGGCATTCTTAATGGTGGTATCCTGCCAGGGTAATTGCTTAGCTCTATTTTTTAAAAAAATCAACTTGGAACATTTGTGATTTCAATAAGCCTATGTCAAAGCTTCTCCTCTTTATGACTACTTGCACCAGCCCTTTGATGCTGCTAGTGATCACCATGGCATAATATGCTCCAAATACGGTAATTTCTTTATCTTGGAAACTGGAATCTCATGGAAATATCTGGTAATCCCTTCAAGTCAGATTACCAGTGAGGCTGATTTGAGAGTTTTCAACAGGTAGTTTGACTGTTTACAGAATTCTTAAAAAGCTGCTGACATCATATTGTGCTTTTAATGAAACTCTAGATCAGACTTTGGGGGTAATAAAAATGTGCATTTCTAGTCTATGCCTTATATTGGAATATTCTTTATACTGCAATACGTATGGCACTCAAAGTGATAAGTGAGGATTAGGAACTCTCTAATCACAGAGAACATTAGAGAGTTTTTCAAGCCAGTTATTGTCCATGACTCAGAAGCATCACTGAAATTCTATTTTTTAACAAGGTAGTGTGCATCAGTCCAATTGTGAAGCAATCAGTGTTCACAAATTTAGTTTGTGGCAAATACAGATTATTGAGATTTAGCTCAGCCCTCCTTCACTGCTGGCTTATTCATTTTGCAAAAAAGATGTCTAGAAATGGTGTGTTCAGTGGTCAGTTTTTGTTGGTAGATTCCACTGGTCCAGAGAAGATTAATCCACACTAAACTAACAGTGTGCCAAAGACTTAAATGTTCCTGTGAGGCAGTTATAATGTGTATTTTACAGAGACAGAAAAAAAACCCAAATAAAGAAAATTACTTAATACACACTGGCATAGCTGTGATGACTCTTGACTCTATTACATGCTTTAATAACTAGGTCCTGCTCCGTCCCTTAACAGTGCTCTCTGGGGATCTACTTCAAAATCAAATAGGGCAATGAAAATGGCTTTCCCCCATCTGGATTTGCTTGAATGACCAAAAGAAGGATTTTCAGAATACAGAAGGGTTGGTGTTTGCGTGCCCATCGTACCTGCTGGAATGCCCAGTTCAGCAGCTTGTATCTGTATGATCTTCTCATTGGATAGCACAGGCTATAGCAGGCATGCATTGAAGCGAAGAAGAAACTGAGAAGTCCAAATTGTTTCCTTGATAACATCCATCTATCCAGCCACTGGGGAAATCTTTTATACTTGGTGCCAAAGTACAGCTGGAAACCAGCAGCTAATATTCCTGGTAAATATACTAGTGCTAAAAGGGTAATTGAAACCACTGGTAAAACTTTGTTTATGACAAGTATTGGAATTTTATAGAAAACATTTTCCTTTCTGGTTATAAAAGGATATATGACATCTCTCATAGAAGTATAAATAAATATTAATAATGAGATCACAGATGCTATCTTCATTGGTAAGTGCCACTTAGGGAACAGATCCTGCTTGCAGTGCTGTTCTGAAGAGTGTTCAAACTCACCAAAATGGTGTGCTTGATGTAAATCAAAAAGTGCAGCTGCTTCTGGTGGATTGGTGACTTGCATATCCACATTCTGGAAATGACAGAAAGCAAATACAAAATGAGTTCAAGAGAAGATTAAAAACTTCAGTAATGACAGTATTTGCCATCATGGCTTTTACACTGTACTGCACTGAAACCACATACAAAACATATGCACTATTTCAAACAGCGTGGTCAGTACTTGAGCAAGGCACTTTTAGCATAGATTTCCCATTCTTCATTACCTGTGGTGATTCCAAAATAGATTTAATTCCAGGAAGTTAACTACATTGCAAGGGAAGAAGGATTACATTATGATTACATTATGTGAAGCATTTTTTCAGTTTCTTATGATATGAGTTAGGGATTTCAAATGTCAAATTTCAGCTACAGAATTAATGATGTAGCACAAATAATATGCACAGTAACAGCGTTCAGAGTCTAAAGATAATAAAATATTTCATTCTGTCACAGCTAATTTAATGACATTTAAATGGGGGAAAAGGATGCAATTAGAAATGTTTTGGATCCAGCATGTTAGACCAGCTGCACATCTGTCAACTCCAGCATCAAGTCCTGTGGTCTTCTTCCTCTCCTTCACAAATGTGATAGTTTCCTCTTGACTTTGGTGAAACTTCGTGAAGCTGAGGCACTTCAGTTTAAAAAGCTGAATTTTCTGCTGCCAAATAGGTATGGCTCACAGATGTTGGCACAATTATCACTGACTTTAGAAGAAGCAAAGCTAGTATAAAAAAATTGGTGTAATATTATAAGCTGGTTTAAACTGAGATAATTTATTTTAAAAATATCCCTTAGTTTTAGTTCATGGAAAAGATACATGATCAGTATATACACAAAAAGAAAGTCCATGTACCAACAGCAGCACACTGCACTTGATGCAACAGAGAGCCAATCACGGGCAGAGAACTCATATGTTAGGTAATAAACATGTAGGTCCTTTAATACTCCTGTGAAATATAAAGTAAAACTGAACTAATGCTGCAATGGTTCAGTTTTAGAATTCTTGATGTGTCCAGATGTCCAGAAAGCAAAATGGCATTGTCTGTTTTAAGGAAATATTATCTGTGGGTACTACTTGTAAATAAGGCAAGTAGGTGAAAGCCTCATGTTCATCTTCAATGATACAGAAGGGTTTTGTTTGAACATGAAAATAAAAAATGTACAACTGCTATCTTGCTGTAAAATCCTCATTAGAGACGACAGCCCCCCCACAAGTCTGACTGTTTTACCTACAGTGCCTCACTCTAAAATTAAAAGGTATATAGTCTTTATGAGAATTTTTTAGCTGAATAACCACTATGTGTTTATCTAATGATAAGAGCATATATTTGTAACAATGAATGAGCAGCCTACGTAACTTTTATTCTCTAGTTTGTGAAGAAGAGTGTAGACTGTGCATTGCAGAACTCGAAGTTGGTATAAATTATACAAAATGAGATTCACATCTGAACCAAAGTTTTATCCAGAGACATACCTATTTCTTGAAAAGATAGTTTGCAAAGCCTAATTCATTATTTCACAGCCTGTGAGGTAGTTCATGTTAGAACAGAAAGTTGTAGCTTGAAATAGTTCTGTGCATCTGCAGTTGCAGAGGCAAAGGATGCTGGAATGGATTTTTTTTCTGGACTTTTTTATGTGGGGTGGAAAACTTGCTGAATGCCACGTGGCAATCATGAAGGTTCCTCCAAAGATAGATTTTACATTCCTGTATAAAAATCCGAAATTATTTCTACAGAATTTTGCTCATCGGATAAAATGCAATTAGCAGCAAACCTCATGTAGTTTTTAGCTGTCCCGAACTTTGTGTATTTTTTATCATGGACTGTGATTAAATTGAATGGGATATTCTTTATCTTTTTATCTCTTCATGTCAATATTGTGACAAGCCTTTAAAACTACTGATGATATGCCAGTGTGATGGGAGCAATGTCTCTGGACAAAATCAAATCAAAGACTGCAATATTCTATGTGACATATGAGCTGCTTTTTTACAGAAACATTACCAAGTAGTTAAGATTTCCTGTATTTCTTCTTGGCATGATGTTCTGACTTGCATTCTGATCAGTAGCACAATTACTACCTTCCCTCTTCGCCATTGTGGAAATTCCCTGCAAAACAAGCATAGGATTTAAAACAGGTTTTGAAATGCCTTACTAGAATTTTAAGGCCTCTTTTCCCTCAAAATGTTTTCTTCCCTCTCCTCCACACATTTGCTGGAGAAGGTACAATAAACTAGGGATAGGAAAGTCCGTCCTCTGAGAAGAGGACGGAAAAGCTCAGCTTGTCTTCTGGGTTAAGCAGAGACTAAGAGAGAGTATGAATCAACAGAACACAATCACTGACAAAAAATAATACTTAAGCCTAATGTCCATGTCACCAATGGAATGAATTAATCAATTCAGGCTGAAAGTTTTTAAATTACAATAAATAATTTTGAAATGGCTTACAGAAATAACAGGTAAAACATTATGAAGATGGATTTTGGGAAGTTTGTGAGACTTGCTGATGCAAGAAACCCATGCAAATGTGTTGTTTCTAATATTTTTTAGGTTTTAGGATTGGTCTACCTTATAGTCACTGTACAGCTTTAGAGGCATATTCTCCCTTCAGGATTGTCAACTCAGCTGGAGTTTCACTCATGCTGTTCCAAGGTATCCTCACCACCCACAGATACCAGCAGAAATGGTTTTAAGCTATTAAGGACTACAAGAAATCAGATGCCAGGAAAAAAAAAAGGAAGAGAATGGATAAACTGAAAGAGGTGTTTCTGAAAATCCTAGAATAGCAGGAAAGACAGCATCTTGAAGAGTGTAAAATAACTACAAGGACTGCAAGAACCCTGCAACAAGGACTTCCCAGGCATGCACCACACTGTTGCACACTGTAGGAGGAGAGGCACTGGCACCACACCACTGGAAGCTCAGGGTGCCACACCAGAGAGTGATCTTCTGTTCCTACCTTTAAGACAATGACTAGGTAGCTCTTCCATGTACCTTCCTACTGAACAGCTGAATTACTAAACTGTTTTTCTAACAACTGATTCTTTTGTATCCATAAACCTTTTGGGAAATTATATGGACAAATCAGACTTCGACAATTATCCTTTTTACTGTGTCTGGTTCCTTCAGTAGATGAGTCTTAGTCTTCTACTGTCTGCTATGAGGGTTTGTTCTCTGCCAAGTCACCAGGCACCTGAAGCTGAAGTATTCTTTTCCAAAGTATTCTTTTCCTAAGTATTTCTCTTTGGATTTTTCCCTCCTGCCAGCAAGCTCTCACTTTGGGCATAACCTTTCAGACAAGTGTTGCAGAGTAGGGTCAACAAGAGCTTCTGTCTGAAGGTCAGGCTGTTAACCCTTTCCTACACCAGCTAATGGAGGGTTTGTATATCCTGCACACAAGAAAGCATGGACTGATGAAGGTACATTTCTGTTTTTTCCTCCTATTCCGAGGGCTAGTCCCAGTGATTTTATCACAAGTTTCGGTGTATCAGATATCTTCATAAACCTCAGCTTCCGCAGTCCCATGATTAATTAAGAATTTCTGCTTCTATATATTTCAATATACAGAACTTGTAGCTGTTACAATGACAAAGAATACTTTGCAAACAGAACTCAGTAGATGTACTTACCTGGAAAAAAACCCAATACAGTGAACTCCAGATATATTTTTAAAGAACTCATAATATGAAGGGCAGTCACCCTGTTTTTGAGCCCTACCTTCTAGCTACCACACTCTCTTAGGGGTCCAAAAGCATAATTTAGATTGGGAAACTCTGTATGGGAGAGCCTCATACACCCAATTCTCATGCTGCTATTACTCTTCATTTAGAAAATTAAAAGTCCAGTAATAGCTTCTAGCTAAAGGTTTGTATTGATGAGGATGAAGTAAATGACAACATGATGTGAAAAAAATAATCCGTGAGCTAGGCGGCCAGCTGCTGATCCTAAAAGCTGATTTATTGGTTCTATTGGGATACAATGTTCAATACAATTTTAAATACAGCATTAATAGTTTATGCAGTGGAAGATGGAAAGAAAAAAGAAAGTGTGTGTGAACGAATGCCTGTAGTCATCCATGGAAATATGGGATACAGCCATGCAAATGTATGCAAGGAAACACAGGTACCAAACCATGGTAGTCCACTTGTCTTCTGATACCAGTTAACACAAAATTATTTCCCAATAACAAAGCACACTAATAGTTTTGGAAAACCCTAAAAAAGTACTTATAATTAAATAATTCCACTATTCAGTGGAATTAAGTGAAACAAACTGCCAGAAAGAAGTAATCTAGAGCATGCATCTTTTTGGAATACATCTGAAAAAAAAATTAGGAGTGCTGTGAGAGACAAGAGGCTGATCAGTTATAGCCTCATCTAAGTCACAACTGTCATGAAAGAAAAGTTTTATTTATGTCCACTCTCAGAGCAGACCCCTTCTGCTCAGGGAGACAGCTGTCAGCGAGGATAGAGGACGTCCTGCTGCAGAAAACCAAGTTTCCAATGCTGTGAGCACACTATTGCATTTTGTACCAATAAAACAGCCTCATTGTAACGCAGAACCAACAGTGATCCCCACTGTGCAGACATTACCAAGAGAAAACATCACCCCGAGTCAATGACAAGTTTTCCTGAGTAAGGGGTTTGAGGGCTGGCTCCACGAAAAAAAGAAAAATGGGTAAAATAAACAGGCTGTGATAATAAGGATGAGGTGATGGAAGAAGCACGGGACAGTGACTGCATCTCTCTCCCTTGGCACTATCGGGAAATGACAGCCTGAAAGTGCTGGGCATGACATGACTGTCTGGCTTCCCAAGTGCGCGCTGCATCGTGCAGGACGGTGTGAGCACTCGGCACGCGAGGCAATAACTTTCTCCGCTCTTCAGAAATTCTGCTGAGCTCGGTGGAAAACCGAATAAAAGCCCGGAGGAAGGTGGGAGCCGCAGAGCGTCGCTCGGCGTTTCTCCTGGGCCAGAGTGCGACGGGGGCACTGCCCCTCGGGGAGCCCGAGCCCGAGACCGCCGCGGATGCCCGTCCCGTCCCGTCCCGTCCCGGCCGCGGGGCGGGCGGGGCCCGAGCCGGAACCCGCCGCGGCGGCAGCGCGGCCACGCGGGCGCACTCGGCCGCCTCCCCGGCGGCTCCGGGCACGGCCGCCTCCTCCCCGCCACCCCGGGCTCACCCACCTCGGCCCCCGGCAGCCCGGCCTCTCCTTCCCGCCGGAGCTCCCGCCGTGGGGGGCGGCGGCAGCGGCGGCCCCGGCTCGGCTCCGTCCGTCGGGGCAGCGGTGCGGGGGCAGCGGTGCGGGCGGGGTGCGGCTCGGGCGGCAAGGAAAACCCAGCTCAGCAGCGGAGCGCCCGCTGCTCTCTGAGGAGGGGGGCGGCGGGGGGGGGGGGGGGGGCGCGGCCGCAGCCTCCACCTCCCCTCCGGGCCCCGCCCTCCGCGCCCATCCCGCTCCCCTCCGCGCCGGAGGGGTTCGTCCACTGTCCCGGCCCCCGTCCCGAGCTGCGCGCCGGGGGACGGCGGAGCGGTGTGGCCTCGGAGTGTCCCCTCGGGCCCCGGCCACCCCAAGGAGCGCCCGCCCGTGGGTCCACTGGGCCCTAGGCCGGACAAAGGGCGCATTCACCTGCGCCCTCCCCGCCCCGCCGCAGGGAGGAGGAGGAGGAGGAGGAGGAGGAGGAGGAAAAGGCACCGGGGTGCGGTGACTCCGCGGGCGCCCTTCGTCTCCCCCAGCCCGACCTCTGCTGGCAGCCCCGCTGTCCCTGCCGGGGCACGCGTGGGTGCACCAGACACGCCGGGGAACTGGGGGCTGCCAGTCCTGCCAGCGGCCCGCAGCCCTTCGGATCCCGGGAAACCTCTCCCTTCAGTGCGTTCTCCCTTCCCTGCCGGTTCTTCCAAACGTGTCACTCTCCGAGCCTGACAAAATTCTCTATTAATTCCTCCTTCTCATACGATCAGTCCTCACTTTAATTTGTTTTTCTCCAAATACCATGATCTTTTACTTTTTTTTTTCCTTCTCTGTGCTGGCGATTCTGAAAAGGCAGCTGTCTCCTGAAAGTTTACTCATTCAATAGCATGAATTATCTTGTGAAATCTCTTAGTGGATATTTTGACATTTAGTGGCTTAGTGACATTGCAGAACACATGGCCAGTCTGTCTCAAGGATGTTTTCATGCAGAGCTCATTGTATCCTCCTCAAGATTTCTTCACAAAAATGATGCCAAGTTCCATGTCTTTGCATCTTGGGAATACATTTTTGTCTCCTTTTCAGTAGATGTTAAATGAACAGAGACTCCAGCTGAATGCTACATCTGTCAGAAAAGAGGAGATAGCCTTAGAAGAAATAGAAGACGGAATAATTATATCTCCTGTGTTAAAACAAAACCTTAACTTAAATTGTGTGGGTTTTTTTTTTTAGTTGCCTTCATTAGTATATTTTTCTGTGTATTTCATAAAGGCTATTTTCCACTTGCTTTCCATTAGTTAGTTTTTTTTTTTGCAAGGGATGCTAGCCTGTGTATACTCTCACTTTGTGAAAGTGCCGTTTGATTTTCTTTCCTACTCCTGTTTTTGCACCGTCCTTTTGGGATTTCTCCCAGTTCCCAGAGTGTAGCATCATCAGGGTGACGCCTGGCGGTGGGAGCGCAGGGGAGGAGGCTGCCTGCGGCGACGTGTGCCAGCCCGTTCCTACACCCCGGCTAAAGGAGAATGTGTAGTGCAAAGGGCTAAAAGCATTGTCATGTTCCTAATGAGCTCCATGGTAATGCTCTCCTTAGAAGTTCTGGTGTAAGTTAGTGTTATGGGGACTAGATTTATAGACCAAAAGATAGCTCAAGATGCTCAAGATAGCTCAAGATTGAATATCCTTAAGATATCGTTAGCCTTTTCATAAAACACACAAGAGCTAAGCACCTGCATGAGCATTCTCAGATGAGATGAAAAGCCAACCAAAGTGAACCTGGCTATCAGTACCTAGTAAACTGCTCTGCATAGATGCTCCTAGTACCTCTGGACAAGCAATCCCCTCTCTAGTCTCTGAGTACTATTAGGTGCCTATCTGTGAATAAAAATGGAAAGCTCATTCTGTGTGGCTGCTGATAATGTGGGAATAGATTCAAATGCTAGGAAAATCTTTCCTTTCATGGCTACCCTAAGGCATGACTTCCAGGTCATTCAAAGTACCACTTGTATTACAGTGGTTACTGGAAAGCAAACTGTGTGGCAGTCCTGCAGATCGTTACACCTAGATGATACCACTGCACGCTCACATCTTTGAACTGATATTTATGCAAAGCGCTTTGCAAGAAGTGTGAGACTGAAGGTAGGAAACACCAAAGGAATCAGGAGTTGATTCAAAGTGAGATAATTTCTCTTGGCACATGCAGAATGGGGATGATCTCATTGACAAAAATTTAAAACTGTGCAGATTTGGCTAGCTCCAGACATTTAGAAGAGTGTCAATATTACTTAACTGTTGTAGGATTTGGGGGAGAAAGATTAAGACCTCTGTGGTTGCTGAAGTGTGGTATTTTCCAGAGAAGAAAAATACTCTGGTGACTCTTTCTTAGCCCATCTGTGTTTTATTCATTCTATATTCTGGACAGAGTTTGTGAGTGATGATAACAAAGGACATGAGGGAATGGTAGATTGCATTTTCTGGTGGAACAAAGTATTGCATAATTGACAAGATTTCCTGACAGTGGTTTAATCCTGATAACATTTTCATCACAGTTCTTACAGGAAGAAGTCTGTGGTTGGGACAATTTGTCTGCTTCTGCAACTGCTCTTTAGACTAGGAGCTC